GAGGGCAAAGATTGCCTTTCCAACTTGGTAACCTTTCCATTGAGATGACCAGCTCGGTGGATAATGGGAGATTGGGCCTTCATTTTAGGAAAGCTTTCAAAATAGACTGCCATAATATCATAATCAAATTTTATGAGATATGATTTAGATTAGTGGAGTAGCTGGTGGGTTGTAAAACCGCTTAGCAGACTGCCAATCTGCTAAGCCTGGGCATCAATATGAAGGCCAATAATTGTTAATGCCTTCATTAATGGCCTACGTGACAGAGTGCAGTTAAGTTTGGTGAACTCACAGCGGAGCTGAGTTGGAGGGAATCACTGATACCCTGGATGGTAGCAGTAATATAGTGGGACCTTGAGAAGTAGGAAAAAATGACCGAGAGAAATGTTGTGGAAGCTCAGTAGAGGCAGCAGTGATGTTCTACACTTTTGCTAGGAATCATCTCTGCAGCTGGACAAGCCGAAGTCCTGGGCTGTGGTGGGGGTGGATTAGAAGATGAATGCAAATCAACAGTGCCTCTTGTGGCAGGAGTGCCCAGTGTTCTGCCAGCAGTTGTATGGCAGAGGTTCTTTCCCTGTGCTGGGCAAATGCAGAGTACTGTGTCTGCTTTGGGGTTCCCCACTATATGAAGGACATTAGCATATATGAGTAAATCCACTGAAGGCTGCCCAGATGGTTAGGGGCATCTTGTAAGATGCTGAGGGAAGGAGCTGCAACAAGAGAAGGCTGCCTTAAGATCTGATATCCTAATGCTTTCTGCAGCTGAATGAAGGTGTAAAAAAGGTGAAGCCTGACTCCTCACTAGCACAGTGGTGGCATGAGAGGCAATAGAAACAAGCTGCAAGAAGGGAAATTCTGATGAGACAGAGGAAAAAAATAATGTTCATAGTGAGGGCCCAGGATAAAGGGTCCGGGGAAGGTGGTGGGATCTCCATCTGTGGAGATTTTGAAAACACAAGAAGGTTGTAAGCAACCTTATCTGAAATAACCATTTTTTGAATGTTAGGGGTTGGGGGGAAGGGAATGGATGACCTCTGGAGACCCCTTTCAAGCTAAATTTGTTTGGGTTTTGTTTGTTTTTGTTCTGGGATTCAGCCTCCCCTGCATCTGCAGCATTTTACTTTCTGTTTACTGCATCTGACTACTTCTACATAGAAGAATTAGAAATTGCATGCATTACTTGTGGTGTACTTACAGGTCCTTTGGGATGTAATGACTCTATGAAGAATGGCTACTGGAGATAATAAAGAAAATAATGGTAAAGGAAATGCTCAAGAGAAGGGATGAATGACTTAGAAGCAGTTTGACCAGGAAGAGGATAGGGCAGTGGAATCGTGAAAGAAAGCAAAAAGAGGAGAAATAGTATTTTCCCATTATTAAAATTGCTACTTTGTCTTTATGTTTTCAAACCTTTGGACAAACCACTTTTTCATACCTTCTCTTTTTTTCTTTCCTCTTTGTTTTCTCTTCCTTTGCTCCCATATATGGTGGTAGTTGGCAATTCTAGATGTATTAAATATTTTTAAATACTGGTTTGAGAAATAAAAAATTATTGTAGTATAAAGGGTTATGCCAATGTTTATTTGCTAACTTCAGTAGGAGTATCCAAAAATACCTTTCATCCATTCTGGGAAAGGCAGAAATCTTAGTATTTGTTTGAAATGAAGGAAATACACACCTTCAAAGTTAAAACTCGAGACAGTAAGCTTTGAAAAAATGATAGATCTTGAAATTATCTTGTTGCAGTTTCAATTGCATAAGCTCTCTGTTGGTTTACGGAAGTCGCATACCGACCCTTTCTATTATTGAATGTTATTTGAAACTTTGTTAATTAACATTCTGTGTATTTGGATGTGAAGCTTCATCCACTTCTAAACATCTCCAATTATTTCTTCACAGCCTGAAACTGCGCTCCCTTCGAGTGAATGTTGGACAGCTTTTGGCTACAATCATGCCTGATCTAGACTTGCAACAAGTAAATTACGACATTGACGTAGTGGACGAGATTTTAGGACAAGTTGTAGAACAAATGCATGAAATCAGCAGCACTTAAGATACTAAAATTTTCACAGAGCCCTACTTGATCTTCCAGTATAACCTTTATATAAGTTCTGAAGTGTAAATACTTCTTCTTCGCTTTATATATTTCACAGTTTGATCAATAAATGTATATACTCTGTACGTTCAGGTGTTACCACAGATGCAGTGGGTAGTATCTTAACGTCCTCTTAAATGAACACTGTCAATATCGACCAACCTCGATGTACTTAAAGATTTTGCTTTTAAAATGTATTTGTAATTAAATTTGCAAATATTTTTATGATTAAGAATGTTAATACTTTTCTACAAAAGTTTTGGTTGATTTTTGGTCTTATATATGCATTGATACTTGCAATTTTTTTCCTCATCCAAAATCCTAGCAGTGGAATATATTAAAAATGCAAAAAAGGAACCTTGTTGATTTTCTTCCCAGAACAAACCTCAGTAACTTTATTGTAAACTACAGTATTTTCATTGCTATCAACAATGTTGTGTGTTGCATTAATGGTTTAGAAATTTAACTAATAGATGGAAATTTTGGCCATATTGGCAGTATTTATTGTCTTACTACCAAAAGAAGAAAAATTCCTTAGGGGTTTTATCCTGAATATGGATGATCTTTGACAGCCTTTTGGATTTTCTGGTGTTGCTAGAAGACATTTTCTGTACATAATCTTGCAGCATAAACAAATCCATGGGATATTTCAGCCTTACCAGTCTTGGAGACCACATGCCTGTTTGTGTCCTGCCCGTATTACTTGATTGTTACTTCCTCGTTCCAAGAACCAGATTGTATTGGAGTGCAGTCAGATTGATGATTGGTTCTACCCCATGGTTCCCAGTTAAACACAGCAGTACTAGTTTATAAGTCCAGTATGTTCCAGTATGTGAGTTCAAGTGGTCAGTTTTCACATGCAGCTCTTGCCTGCCTATTTTCCAAGTCAAAAGCAATTGGTGATCTGTTGGAGAGAACGTAAACAAAACTAGAGTAGGATTCCTGGAGGACCTCTGCTGTAATACCACCTCTTGAGACTTTAAAGCCTTACTTTAGAGCAGCCCAATGCAGAAAATAATTGACCTGGAGGTCTGTAATGTATACAAATATTTGCATATTTTATCTCTGAAGAAAAAGTGTTGTAGCATTAAGCGAGCAGTCTGCCCTTGAGTCTCTCAGTATGAGGCTTACCTTTCAATCACAATGGGCCATGCTGCACATAAATGTCAGGCTACTCAATCCTTGTTTAACTAGTCAAAGTAGAAATATTTTGAGAAAGAGAGGCATGTTTTCTTATCTGTGGTGTCAAATGACAGAGTAAGCTAAAGCTGAAGATGTTCAAATGCGATTTGTTTATGCTATCTTAATGTTTAGGCATCTTTTATTACAGGTAAGATAGGTGACTCCTCTTTTTTCCCTCTTATATAGTCACAGTAATTATTAAGCCACTAGTTTTATTATTACAGTGGTGACAGTATTCTTCTCTTCAGCCAACTGCATGCTTTTTCCATTGAGGTCATCAGGAATAAGGGGTGGGCAAAGAGCCCATCTACCTGTTATCTCTGGTGGCATTCATCATCCAAACAGCGATCAAAAAAAAACAGTTTTTGCTTTTAAAAAAATAAAATCACGAAACTGCATTCAGTGTTTGTTCCTAGGAATTGTCGATTTTGTAAAGCCAAGAATTGTGGCTTTTGCACTGTTAGCTGTCCATATTTAATTGGATTATGTTCCGTTTAGTTGTAGCTCAGTTTTTTCCAGTGGGCAGTACTTTGATTTCAGGATGCTTTCTGTTCCAGTATGCCAATAAGGATAATGCAATACTGCTTTGCTTCATGATGGCTAAATTGAATGTTTGATTTTTGGAGAGGTGGCTGTAATGTAACTTTTAAAAAGTTTTTCTTTTTTTTTTTTTTTGCTGTGTAGTTTTCCGTTCCTTCATCATTATTTATTATGTTTCATCAGATTCTGTAGTTGAGTTTATTGTAGATGACATAAAATATAGCGTAAGTCTATATTAAAAATGGAAAAATTACAGTGTACGTTTACACTTTGAAGAACAGTGGACTAATGGAAATGCTTTTTATTTGTCAAAATGTATTTTTTGTAAAAAATGAAAATGAAAAAATAAATCTGAATTTGCTGGATCAAAACTTGTCATCAGGTGCTGTGTTTCCCTTATAAGCAAGTAAGACTGTTACCGGCTTTCCTTATGTATGATGCATGTGGGCTTGTTTAGCTTGTAAAAGAAAAGGCTCTGGGGAGACCTCCTTGAGGCCTTCCAGTGCTTGAAGGGAGCAGATAAGGACGGGGAACAACCGCTTATGAGGGTTGATAATGATGGGACAAGGGGGAGTGGCTTTAAACTGAGACAGAGGAGGTTTAGGTTAGATGTTAGGAGGAAGTTTTTCACACAGAGGTGGTGAGGCACTGGAACAGGTTGCCCAAGGAGGCTGTGGATGCCCCATCCCTGCAGGCATTCAAGGCCAGGCTGGATGTGGCTCTGGGCAGCCTGGTCTGCTGGTTGGTGACCCTGCACACAGCAGGGGGTTGAAACTGGATGATCATTGTGGTCCTTTTCAACCCAGGCCATTCTGTGATTCTATGATTCAAGCCGAGGGGAAAGCCGCCTCGTTGTGGGTTTGAGAAGCTGTGGAAACCTCCCGCGCTTCCGCGCAGCCGGGCACGCCGCTGCCCAGCCGCGCGGTACGGCCGTGCCCCACGCCTCTCGCTTTCCATTCCCCGCCCCGTGCCCTCAGCAGTGCCACCAGGGGCCGCTGTCGCCCCGCTCGAGCCCGCCCAGAGCCCACACGCATGCGCGGGGCGGGAAACGCGCTCCCGCGCTGGAGCTGGGCCGGGCCGGGTCGCAGGTAGAGGCTGGGGTCGCGGGCGGCTTTTACGGTGGTTGGGACTGAGGGGAGAGGCGCGCGGTGCGGCTGGGGCAGGGGTCCAGATGCTCTCTGTGGGCGTGCGGTGAGGAGCGGCGGGGTCGGGCGGCTTATGTTCTTCCACGCGGTTAAACTGCCAGTTCCCACCGCCGGCGGGCGGGAGCGGCCTCTGTTGGCGGTGCGGGGTCGGGTCGGTCTCCTCCAGGAGGGAAGAGCTGCAGTTCCTGCCCGAAGTGTGCTGCGTGCTGCAGCGGTCGGACAGCAACCTCTGCCGCTGTAATCGCGGCGACCTACAGTGATCTTCCTGAAACTACCGTCCTGTCAGTTCCTGTAGTGCTTGTGAGGTCCACGTTAACTTGGATCGTGGTTATAGGGAGCAGGAATTTAGCCAGGGTTTTGCTTTGTTTTCCTTAGCAGACATGAAGGTCATCACTTGCGAGATAGCGTGGCACAACAAGGAGCCTGTGTACAGCTTGGACTTCCAGCACGGAACTGATGGGAAGATCAACCGACTGGCCTCCGCAGGTGTGGACACAGCTGTCCGGGTATGTCTCACACCTCTTCTGTTCTGCTTTCTGGCATAAATAGCGTAAAGCATGACACGTACTCTTATCTGAGGTATTTTAGGAACTGATGTGGACATCGAGGCCATGGGCAGTGTCCAGAAAAGGATATTGGAGTTATGGAGGGTTTGGGGCATGAGTCTGACGGGGAGCAACTGAGGGAGCTGGGGTTGTTCAGTCTGGAGAAGAGGAGGCTCAGGAGAGACCTCATCGCTCTCTACAACCACCTGAGAGGAGGTTGTGGTGAGATGGGGTTGGCCTCTTCTCCCAGGTAGAAGTGATAGGATGAGAGCTAATGGCCTGAAGTTGCACCAAGGGAGGTTCAGATTGGATGTCAGGAGCAATTTCTTCTCAGCAAGAGCAGTGAGGCAGAGGCACAGGCTGCACAGAGAAGTAGTGAAGTCACCATCCCTGGAGGTGTTCAGCAGCCGTGTGGATGTGGCACTGAGGGACGTGGTTATTATGCTGACAGTTGGACTAGGTGATCTTAGAGGTCTTTTTCAACCTTAATGGTTCTATGAGTGGAATAGATGTTGAGGGCAAAAGCATGAGGTTGTTCACTTGTAGACAGAATGGCTGTATCTATGCTTACTGCTCTTGGCTAATGCCGAGTGTCAAACTGAATCTTTTAGAAGATGATCTGTGTTTATTTAGAAGTTGGGCTAGGTGATCTTCAAAGTTCCCTTCCAAGCCCTGTGATTCTGCAATTGAGTAGTAACCCCAAATTTATGGCATCATCTTATGGGTTAATGAGAAACAACTGGTTTTTGTTCCTTTGTGTTCATCACAGTTGATCTTCATCTGCCTGTTTTGTAAGCTGTCAGCACTGTGGGATCTTTCCACACGCCTTTTCAGTCTTCTCCATGTACAGCTCTCAGAAATGGTTTTCCATTGGTGTTAGCAAGCTGTGTTAATCAGCTGTTCTTTTTTGAGAATCATTTCTGAAATTAATGATTGATTGTGTAGCCTGAGCCACAAAATAAGTGGCTATCAGATTCACCCCTGCAAAATCAAGCAGTTGTTTTCTTTCTTATAAATTCTTATTGGACATGAGGACTGTCCCAGTCATTCAGTATCACATGTTTTTTCTAATAGCCTTAGCGCTCATTGGAAAACTGTGGGAAATCAAGAGCACTGAATGAGCCATATTATTTTTTTATTGCATGTTAGTCAACTCCTTAAATAAAGTTAATGGCTGGCAAGGCAGAGTTTTCATTGCAGACAAATATAATTGACTCAAATGTGTTGTTGCTTTTCTAACAGCTTCTCAGTACGGAAGGTAGGTACAGCGCTCAGAGTTTTTCTGAGTACTGCTTGAGCACTTCTGAAATGCTTGCCTCCCTTTTTATTGGATCCAAAACTGCAATATAGTTAGGTTTCCCATCAGTGCTGGGCTGTTCAGTTCATGTTTGAGTTCCTCTATGTCTCTTCATCCTGGTGATGTGCAGTAAAACAGAAGGCTTGTTTAATCAAAATTCTTCTCTCAAACTCATTCTGGTATGATGACAGATTCCAAGCCAAGAGTCTTCATGTTCTCCTTGGGAATGGACTGGAGGGCAATGAATTCATGCAGGTTTTCTGCGATGTGTGTGTATCTTTCTGTCTATTTCTCTATCTTTGGTGTTAATTTTACATTTTAATTATCTTTTGGGTCTGTTTATATTCTGTCATTCTTCTGTCATTTGATATGTGTGAATAAATCAGGAATGTTGCAAGAGAGTCTTGTTATATGTGTGATAAGCAGGAAAACAGAAATGATAAGGTTTTCTTTTTTTATTATTCCTGCGTTTGCTTCTGAATAGGTAAATGTTCTGTTTTAGCAGAGGATCTGCAGTGCAAAGATCCAATCTGTCTTTACAGTGGGGTGCATTTTGATTGGATCCATGCATGTTCTGTAGGATCCTCAATGTGATATTTTGTGAAATATTGTACTTTCCTATGTGTTTTGTAACGAATTATCACAGTTACAATTCATGATATGTATCTGGCTGGACTGCCTCTTTCTTTTGGAAGTACTAAGTGGGATTCATGTCATGAAAAATTAGGAGTTAATTCCAGTAGTCCAAACAAAACTTTTCCTCAGAGGCAAATTGAGGTTTAGGTTGGACATAAAGAAGAATTTTTTCTCTCAGAGTGGTCAGGCACTGGAATGGCTGCCCAGGGAGGTGGTGGAGTCGCCGTCCCTGGCAGTGTTCAAGAGGCGTCTGGATGAGGAGCTGCGAGATGTGGTTTAGAGCTTGTGGTAGCAGTGGTAATGGGAGGGTGGTTGGACCGGATGGTCTTGTAGGTCCTTTCCAACCTTGTGATTCTATGATTCTGTGATTCTGTGCTTCAGTGCAGTTGCAGCTGTAGCTCAAAGAGGGAAAATTTGTGGTACTGCTGCAGCTTTACCTGCGGAAGTTTCAGATGTTAAGTTCAGAAAGATGGTCCAAGGAGTAAACTGTGAATTCTTGTGAGACATGTAGATTATACCTTGTTTCCAAAAACTACCCGCAGTGCTTTTGTAACTAGATCTGGAAGGTGGAAAAAGGACCGGATGGAAAAGCTATTGTGGAATTCTTGTCCAATCTCGCCCGCCATACCAAAGCAGTAAATGTCGTGCGCTTCTCTCCCAGTGGTGAAGTCCTTGCATCTGGTGGAGATGGTGAGTAACAGTGCTCAGCGGTGCTGATGAAAAGAAGCTCTGTTTGTGCGTTTGGTGAGTGAAGGGGAAAACGTGAACGTATGGACTTGTTCATACCTTCTCATGATTTCAGTTTCGGATTCCTATGTGCCCTCTGGCTGTAAGCAGTAAATGCCTGTCATGCGGTTAGTTTTTACGTAATTTACTGCTGGCTGTGAGTCTGAGAAGGAGGGGAGATTGAATGGATTGCCTAGAGTCGCAGGGAAGCTGCGGCTGAATCTCTACGTTTCTTCCTGTCTCTCCAGGGTGATGTAGTTTCTTCAGTCCCAGTAAGGACAGCAATAGGTGGGCGTATGTCCTGTGAGACAGAGCTGAGTGTTACCTTCTGCACTAGAAGATTTTCAAGAAGCATGACATACAGAACCATAGCCAGCTCTAATCCAAAGCAAACTGAAAGTTAAATTGATAATTGCAGGACAAGGGGAAATGGTTCTAAGTTGAGGGAGGGAAGATTTAGGTTGGATGTCAGGGGGAAGTTCTTTACAGAGAGAGTGGTGAGGTACTGGAACAGGCTGCCAGAGAGGCTGCCACTGGATGCCACATCCCTGGAAGTGTTCAAGGCCAGGTTGGATGGGACCCTGGGAAGCCTGGTCTGGTATTAAATGGGGAGGTTGGTGGCCCTGCATGTTGGCAGCCCTGCATGGGCTGGAGATTCATGATCCTTGAGGTTCCTTCCAACCCAGGCCATTCTGTGATTATGCACTGTACTCTCATTTTACTCTTGGGAATCTACTTTTTTTAATTAAAGTATTATGCAAAAAAGTAAAAGGGTAAGGCAGTGTAGGAACATCTCTTCCCCAGTGCAAGTTAAGGTCTGTTCTTCATATATCATATGTGAGATGATTGTAACATTGAACTAAATATAATGTGTTAGCAAACAAGTGGAAAAGAAGCTTCGTATTATTTCTTGTCCAGATGCTGTTATTTTATTATGGAAGCTGAATGATAGCAAAGAATTGGAACCACTGGCTTTTCAGGATGAAGATGAAGCGCAGCTTAACAAGGAGAACTGGACAGTTGTTAAAACTTTAAGGTATTTTAATATTTTTGAGATATTTTTCTCTTCAGTGTTTTTGATTCCACAGTGAATTTTATCATTTAGTACAGTCTTTTGTTCAGTGATTTTAGGACTTCCAACACTCTCTAAAATTTGCTTACTGTGAGTTCATCTTTTTATTGTCTTTAATTTCTTTGTTTTGATACAGGGCCAACCTGCATCTTCTGTTACAGTATTTATGAGACATAAAGAATTTGCAGGACATAGCTGATGTGCTCTGAAATTGGTTCCTAAGATTTGCAATCACTTGAACTGTAATGCCTGTATATAAGTAAATGTAAAGTTTTATTTGTTAGTTTCGTAGTGCAGATTTTGATCATTATTAAAATAAAAAACGTCAGTAGCTTTTCATCAGTAGTTTGGGCAGATTTGCCAGATAGAAGCTGTGAGGCTGGAGGAGTCTTTTCCAACTAGTTCTTTTAAATAGTTGAAAATCTTCTACACTGGACAGCTTTTGTTTCAAACCATGTTGTAACTAATAAGATGGACACACTTTGCCTGCAGAGACCGTGTAAGTATTGCTGACAGTGGCTAAGGCATGAAACCACTGCTGGTTTGCAGTTGCAGTACTGCCTGTGGTGTTCTGTTCTCACTCCCAGCAGAAGATTGCAAGAAATCTGCAATCTGCAGTAGTTTTTTATGAGATGTATATTTGTTTTGCTTTCTGTGTAGCATCTGTTAAAAGTTTTACTTTCTGTCTATACTGCCAAAATCATTCAGAATTTACACTTGTTTACGAACCATAAGTAACTATTGCTATCCATAACCAATACATTCCTTGCAACTATTGAGATTTCTGTGAGAACAGTTTCACATGTGCTCATGAGGTTGCATAAAACACCAGCATGATCCTTAGTAACATTAACTTCTTAAAGCAAACAGAGCCAATCCCCCTCCCCTAAATTTAGTGTTGCAAATATTCATTACCGAAGCTCCCACCCTGTATAATAAACATTCAAACTACAAGCAATATGCATAGCTTTTGATGAAACCTTTCTGGGTGGTTCTCAATATTTTTAAGCATTTGTTCAACTACATCGAATCAAACCTAGTTTTCTGTATTTCTACTGCATATGCATCTTTGTTTACTGTTTTTCTGAAACCCCTAAGTATGCAGGAAAGTCTTCATGAAAAGTGACATTTATTGCATGTGAAAAAAGAAATGTTAAAGAAACCTACTTTGGGTAGAAGGAGGATGTGCTTTATAAAACATTTTAATGCCTCTGAGTATGGAAATTCTGTAGAAGCTGAAAATAGTGCTGTTCCTTTTCTTCAACAGCTCTTTATTTCTCTCTTTGGTTATTTTTTTTTAACCCCGAAACATGTACAGCTGTTACATTTACGTGTACCTGTTTGCCTTAATAATCAGTTCCTTTGCTGGCTTCTAGAGGCCACTTAGAAGATGTGTATGATATCTGTTGGACTTCAGATGGGAATTACATGGCGTCTGCCTCTGTAGATAACACAGCTATCATGTGGGATGTCATTAAAGGTAAGTGCTGTGTTTTAGCCATTGTGGCTCCACCCTTGATGGAAGTATCCCCAAGTATTTACCGAAGTAATTAAGCACATCTTTATTCAGTGAGAGAGCAATCAACTTAGTTGGTAGATTTCTGGAATTGTGAGGCATATACTCCAGCATATAAAGATACCTTCAGGTCAGCAAAGTTTGCACACAAGTAATCACTTCAGATTACTTGGAAAGCAAATGTTATCCTTTCTTCCCACCTCCCTCAAGCTTGTACTCACCCCACGCTTCCCAGCAAGCAAACAAAACTTGACTGGTATCAAGTAACTACCTCAGCTAAACACAGAAGAATGCAGAAGGCTTCTTTTTTTCCAGGTGTGACACTTTTTTATGCTTTGTTCAGCAAAACACTTTTGTTCATGCTCATCCCACTGCTGTGGGATTGCTCATATTCTCCGAGAAAAGCCCTTTGGAGGTTGGACCAGTGCAGAATATTTTGGACACTGCAGTTCCCAGCTGTGTGTATATAGCTGCCAATAACCAGCTAGGTTAGGTTCCTTGACAGGAGTTTAATATTTTCTGATTAGCAATGTGATCATTGGTTTCACTTCTGATTTCATCTGGAAATAGTTGGCTTTCCTTAAGTATAACTTAAATGGATGTTCAATTAGATGTGTGTGTGCTCAGAGGGCAAGTTCATGCATGGGTATTGTTACCAGATGCCACCTTAATTTTTGATAAAAATGCTGAATGTCCTTCCATTCTTACTGCTTGCTTTTAGCATGAAATTACTGCTGTGGAGGGAATTTGTGTCTTCTAGGCAGTGTCAGAACTAGTAAGTGAGAAGTAAGAAGCCAGTACTGGAAAATGTAGGACTTCTGGTTGAGGTTGTAGGTACGCAAAAGTAAAGAGTTTCAAGGAGTGCTTGACCCCGGCTAAAAGATTGCATAGTTTAGGAAAAAACAAAAAACAAACAAAAAAAAAACCTGACTGAATGAAAATTAATTTAAAAACCCACAGGGCTGTTTAGAACAAAGACAACGTCACTGGCTTATTGTGTAAGTACAAACTTGGAAACTCACAGAACATCCTGGAGAAGTACAGTTAGGTGCTCACTTTCTTCTTATGCTCTTAGGCATCTGTTGTTGGGCACCGAAAACAGGGACTTTCAGACCAGAAGGACTTCTGGAATTTGCAGCCTGGCCTCAACCCTGTGTTATCTTTTCAAAGAGCTGTGTCTTTGAAACAAAACAAGACCGTGCTATTAGAAATCCGTATCCGACAGTTAAAATGAAATATTTTATGAGAATTACAAGTAACTTTACCTCATCCTAGCACTTTGGATTTCTGCCACTCCACTGTAGAAGGGTTGGAGAGTTCACGCTTTCATGATGGAGTTGTGAGTTGTGAAAGAATGAGTTAGCACTGCTGTGGAAGCGTTTCTGAAAGCTGTGTGAGTAAATGATCAGTCAGTGAGTGTGCAGTGCCTTTTTTCAGTGCCTGCTTGGTGGAGGAAGTGAGTTTCTACAGGCCTGGAACCTAGCTATCTCTAGCCCCACCTGAATGTTACATTTTAATGCTGGAATTTCTGACTTCTCATACACCCAAAATCAGTTAACTATTGAAAAGTATTTTAGAATTCCGTTAGAAGTTTTTTGTCTACATCAGAAAAATTTTGATATGCTTTTTAGTTTTGAGATGTGCTCATTTGATGCCTGAACCAAGCTGCTTATCTGAGTTAGTTCACAGGGAACAGCTCTTGAATTGGCATTGCCAATTGGCTGCAACTAGCTGTTTTATTTCTAGAATGTACCTGTTTCCAGCATTCTTGTCAGGTACCACCAGGATAGATATGCATGTTCAAAAGATTATTTGTTTACATTTTAAAACATTCTACTTTGCTTTATTTCTGAAATGAAGAAATGTTTTTAAAGCACATTTGAATTCAGAATTTGGGAACTGTTTGTAATTTCAGGACAGAAGGTTTCAATATTAAATGAACACAAGAGTTATGTCCAAGGAATAACCTGGGATCCTCTAGGCCAGTACATTGCAACTCTGAGTTGTGATAGGTGAGCTGTTGCTCTAAGTGTTTTGCCTTGATGTTTTTTTCTTAAACATACTTTTAACTCATGCTCAGATATGTTATAAATGTGACTTTTACGTGGGCTCAGATTGTTCTGTAAGAAAGCTGAGATGAAGCAACGTGCTAAGTTAGTTAGCTTTATGGCTGTGGTAAGTGATTCCTGAGGTATGAGTGTCTTTTCTAAGTGGCAAATAAGCTTATGTAACCTTTCAAAGAAAATTGTCTTTAGGCAATAAGTTTTCATGCCATTAGTCATTAGAGATACCAGATGCATCTTAAAGAGACTGCTGCATTCTCTGATTGTCAGTGATCTAGTAAGTCCATCCTTATCAATACAGTTTACAGAAAGATATGAACAGGTTAAGTAATCAGTTAAAATGTTTTTCCACTGATACCTTTCTTGTGCCCTCTTGCTCCCTCCCCATCTCCAGGAGTTTTGTAAGTGAAGTCATTGGGAAAGCAAATGCACACTTCATAAAAGCTGGGGCTTGTCAGAACTTTGCAGTTCAGCTTAAACTGTTGAGGGCATGTGTGCTGCTCTGAAGGGATTGCAGCTGGCTAATAAATGCGTGTCATCTGGCACCCGTTGCAGAGAAAATTGGTGTGATAGTGCAGAAGTAGTTTTGATTTAAGATTTGCAATAGGCTCTGAGAAATGATGAGTTAATGACTACTGGTTCATTATGAGCCTCTTCTGATAACCACTTATGAGAAATTTGTCTGCTTTTACTAAAACGAACAGCAGCAAAATGTGAGTAATAGAGTGATGCACAAGTTTTTCTTGGAGTCAGGTCACAAGCTAGAGCATGAACTAATCTGAATAGAGGAAGTCTCCTACATCCTCAGGTTTCAGACACTTCTGCAAGGTTGGCAAATATCTAGCTCAGCAAGAGTCCAACAGGAGCCAGAGCTGGTGCTTGGACTGGATGTTCAGCAGCCTGGAGTAAGGAGATTTCCTCCACTTTTGCCAGGCCAGCTTAGCTGTGTGGCACCCAAAGCTTGTAGTTCCACAGCTGCCTCAAACCGACTGCTGGATGCCACAACATCACCTATTTTCTCCTCCTTACTCTGTCAGAACTCTATGGAGCTGTCTCAGCAAATCAAATTGATCTTTTGTTAGGTTAGTTCTCTACTAGCCTAACAAACCAGTGTAACCAAGCAGAGGTTTCAGTGGATGTAAGAGCTGGCAGAAAAGACAGGACTTTTAGACCAGCCCTTAGATTTGCTTTGGCTACCTGCTGTTTTAGGGAGATGAAATCAGCAGAGCTCCAACATTCTCTGTGGTGTTACACTCCAGTTTTCATTTATTCCTAAGAAAACTCAATGAAGGCCCCAAAATGTAGCTAATGGTGAGATGAGTTCCCACATCACAGGAGCATAGTGGCCACTGCAGCACAGGTAGGAATGGCATGGCTGTTTGCTATCCATTAAATTGCTTAATGAACACGTGTGCTGGTACTTTGGAAACATGATTGAGTCAAATAGTTGTCAGCGACTAATTGGTTGCATAGCCATAAAAAATATAACTTTTCTAGTGGTCTCTCATGAATGGAGTTAAAACTTTTGTGTTTGTCACTTAGATTTCTTATATTTGGTAGTCCTGACCAAAAAGTGAAGTGTTGTAACACTGTGTGAAACCTGGGGTGAAAGGACACTGAAAGTTAATTGTATGCTCTACTATGTAGGGTTCTGCGGGTATACAACACACAAACCAAGCGTGTGGCATTCAATGTTACCAAGATGCCATCTGAGTCAGGAGCTGAAGGAGAGGTATGTTGTTTCTGTTATTAATGGTACTGGAGAACATGCTGGGTGCTATTCTATATCAGTTACTCTGTTCCTCTGTTGCAGAGGAGCAAGTATTTGCCATTCAGATAATCCACACGTCACCTATTTCTGTCTCTGTCTCACCTTTGTGGTTTATATATTTTTTCCTGTGCCATTTTAGAAGCAATTAACAAAACATTGCTTGCTGCTGTTGATCTTTCAGCAAGTTCAGCTGAGTAAAGTCATAACACTGTGCATTTTGTGCACAGTAATAACACTAACATTTGGTAAATGTTAGAAGTAGTGTGGAAAAAAGTTGTATGCATGTGAATTTTAACAGACTGAAAACTTGTCTGTCAGATAGTGGCTGTACGTTTATTGATGGATACAACAGGGCATTAATACTTGCAGTGCAGCAGTCTGAAATTTTCAACCAATTCTTAGGAAAAATGGGATTAGAATTTCCTACATTTTTACTGATTTGTTGAAGAGAACCCAAAAAGTTTTTTTTTCTTTCCCCAAGTTAGTTCAAAGTGATACTAAAATAACAATTCCAAGCTGGTTTTTCAATTTCTTTTATTTATATTTTTTTAAACATTTGTAACAACTGCTATAGTGACAGAAGGAGAGGTTTGAGAGAGGGCTCTTTGCCATTATAAAAGTTCTACTTAAACCTCTACTTAAAGAGTTAAAATTAAATGCCTGTGGAACAAGCTTTTACATTGACTGGTACATAATGTTGCTCTGCAGGTTATGAGTCCTTGATTACTGGTCTAATGTGACTACTCTTAGAGTGTTTTGATTAGTTGAAGAGGGATTAGGGCCTATTTTTCTTAGCTGTAAAGAGTTAATAGCAAAGAGAGAAAATGAGTTTGAAGGAGCTGTGTTTTTTTAAAATATTTGTCTTTTATTTTAAAAGTTCCATGAGGATGGGTTGTACAACCAGGTGATTTTTTTCTCACTTGAATTCCTGCTGACATGTTCGTGGCACATGTAACAGTCAAGATTTCAATGTTACAGGCTAGGAGCTATCGGATGTTTCATGATGACAGCATGAAATCATTTTTCCGCAGACTCAGTTTTACTCCTGATGGTTCCTTACTGCTCACTCCAGGTATGTGAGAAGAACATATGCTATGAAGTGCATTGTTTATACTTGAAGCGTGCATACAGATTGCTTTTCAGTCTAGTGGGGGGGGTTATTTATCTCAATGATGCCATTCCTCATTTATCATCTTCCCCTTGAAGGAAGTAGAGGCTCCACAATACGTTTTCATTAGTGGCTCAGAACTTCAATTTTCTCTGTGATAAAAATGATATTTATGGCATTTTTCTTAACTGAAACGTGGAAATTGCAACGTTTTCTGTTAAAATAGAAATGAGGGGTTATTATTTTCTTTTGACTGTCAGGTCTCGCTTTGTTTGTATTCTTTCTTAAAAACATTATGCAGTTATAGTAAAAATAACATTGCAGGGAGAGAATCAGTTTGCCCTGCAGTTAAGCACAGCATTTATAGATGTCTGGCAACATAAAAAAGAAGCTTTGAGTGGGAATTATATAAGGGGAACACAAACAGCGTTAAATAAATATTTAGGATGCCTTTTTAAGTTGTATTCAAGTTGCACAGCCCTTGCCCAACTAAATGACAAGTTTAATTCTCGAGAAGTAAAATGTTTATAGACATAAAGTGTACAGTCAGTACCTTTTGATTTGATGAGTAATGCTTTTGCCTTTATTTTTGCAGCTGGCTGTGTTGAATCAGGAGAAAATGTGACAAACACCACATATGTTTTCTCCAGAAATAATCTTAAAAGGTAGAGTTCAATAAGGTGTCAATATTATTTTATTAAAAAACAAAATAATACTAATGAAATGCTGTTTTCTGAAATACTTATTCTTAAAGGCCCATGGGTCATCTGCCCTGTCCAGGAAAGGCAACTCTTGCTGTTCGCTGCTGCCCAGTCTACTTTGAGTTGAGACGAGCACTTAATAAAGGTACTGCAAATCCTTCAGGGAGTATGATTTTTACAGCAAATATGTGAAAAGGCCTATGTGACTGTTTATTTTCAGGCCATACAATTTTATGCCCCAACCTTTTAACATTCCATTAAGATAGTGTTGTACCGCATCTTAGAAGTTGTTTCCTGATTCTAAGACCCTGAATTTACCTCAAGTACCTTGTGAGTAGCTTTTGAAATAGTAGATGAATGCCTTACTTGGCACCGTAGGCTACAAAAATAATTCTTAGTACTTTCCTTTAACTTTTAACCATTCTGCTTGGGGGGGGGGGGGGAAATGTAAATAACTTGGCTTCGCACTAAAGGGGCAATGCAATGAAATATTTTCTTTTAGTCTCAACTATGCACATCACAGAAGCACCACAGAGTGAGTGTAGTTTGCAACACCCTTTGATGTTTATTCAAGGAAGCCAAACCTGAAGGAATGCTGATCTCTGATCAGAATGGGAATTCTGAGCAGGGGAAGAGTGGTATGAAGTTGCATGAGAACTTACCTGGAGATTGAATTTTAGCCTTCTTATGAGCCCTGTGGGGCAGGAGTGTTTATATTTTAACCAGACTAGTTGTGTTCTGCTGAAAAGGCAGAGTTTTGCTCATTTCAAGCAGGAGTGAAATAAAACCTCTTTCTTTAGAGGATTAGTGTGCAGTATTCCTTAGAGGGCTTAGAGATAATCTGTTGTGTTCTGCATTTCCATCATAATATTTAGATCCAGTGCTAATCTGTGGCAAGGAGGTGAGTGTCAGCTGTCACGCTCTGTAGCACTAAATGCAGTGGTGAGTTTCTGCAGCACCCTCCTAGAGAAGTGAAAATGTGGTAGTCCAGAAATCTGTAAGTGCAAGTACATGTTAATGGCCTGCCTCTTACACTGCATTGCTTCCATAATCACAGAAGTGAACAGGAGACCCATATTCTAGGAATTTTGGAAAGTAGCTAGCTAGCAGTCCAGTGGAAAGCGGAATAATCTGTCCTTAGAGTGAGACAATGCTGGAAGCAAAAGGCTAGCTAGAAGCTGGAAACCAAGATATATTTTGTACGAGACATACAGAATGTAATGTGCAGGCATAAATTTGGGGTGACTTTGATTTAATGTATATCCTAGGAGTTGTTTCTTTAAACTTTGGTGTGTAATTATGTTGCAAAACATAAACTGGGAAAAAACAGACTTTACAAAACAAAATATGAGCAACCTGAATGAACTGAACTTCTGTCTTCTCTCTGAGACGGTAGAACCTATGGACAATGGAAATGTTAATGCTTGCCATTAAACTTTACATTTTATAGCCTTGCTATTTTCTCAGTCATTATTTGATGAACAGTTAAATCTCTGTTTGGTTCACTAGTAACTAGTGCAGTTACTACCCTGCACTGAATACAAGAGAGAATTCTCAGTGTTTTCATTTGTTTGCATTATAGATGAAATCAGTCAGAAATCATCGCCCGCTCTATTGAATCTACCCTATCGATTGGTGTTTGCTGTTGCTTCAGAAGATTCTGTGCTTTTTTATGACACTGAGCAGTCTTTCCCTTTTGGTTATGTTTCTAACATACATTATCACACCCTCAGTGACATTTCATGGTAGGTCATTGTTAGATTCTTAAGATTTGTTGTGTTGGGGAGAACGTCCTGTTTTTGTGTTGAAGCTTTGCACTGCATCTGGTGTCCTGCTTGATTTTTGAGTTTCATTCATGATGTGTCTTTGGTCACTGTCATTGCAATATCTGGACAGTAGGTCATCTTGTTTGCTCTGTAAAGTGGAGAATTACAGTTCTTTGATCAGCTGGGAACCAAGGTGCCAGCAGCCAAAGGACAAGCAGGTGGCATTTGTACAGATATATGCACAATAAAGAGCCCATTGTCCAGGGGGTGTAAGTGGTAACAATGATGTTATTTGAGATTACCAAGGTCATCTTTGAGTTTAGGTGTCTGTATTGTGGCCAAATAATGCTTTATCTGTATAATTCTTCATGGTGGCTCTTCATGCATAGTAGCTAATCTGGCTTGATGTAGGAAGTCAGAACCGGAGCTGGAAACTGAAGTCAAGTCTCTGCAGTCAGAATAATCCCTCTGCTGGATTGGGCTTGTTAGGCTTTTCTGACCCGTATTTCTAAACTGAAGAGCATGTGGACACTTCTTTTTTTAGAATTTATAATTGATGCTCAGAAACTGAAAATCATTGTGTAAGACGAGAAGGGGGATGGAAGAAAGTACAAGCACAACATCACTGATTAAAATGGGCACCAAGCCCCTGTCCTTGTGAACACCACAGTGATTCTGAACATGGCTTCTACTTAGCCTGAGGGTCATAACTAGAGAGCTTAAATTGCTCTTCTGGTCTGGATGTGCAGAGTTCAGCAATATTTCTGAAACTGTGGCTGAAGATATGGACCATATTGTGTCCCAGCTCAGATGTACATAGTTTCTGGTAGCAGCACACTGCCACTAATCATTGGCATGGCCAGAGAGATTAAATCAGGTGTAAAGGCAAAATGTGAAGATCTTTTGTTCTTTTGAATTGGATGTTTTTTCACTTGACTGCAGTTTTACTTAGATGTATGTGTGTACTGGGGGAGGGGAAGAAGTACGGATGAGTACAGTGTATGTTATATATGGAGGTGAGTTGGGATTGAAGAAAGAAGTTTTCACCTTTCCCCTTAATGGAAAAAAACTTCCAAATAGGTCCAGTGATGGAGCCTTTCTTGCTATTTCTTCTACGGATGGATACTGTTCGTTTGTTACCTTTGAGAAGGATGAACTGGGAATACCACTGAAGGAAAAGCCTCAAATAAATGTCAGGACTTCTGGTGCAACAGAGAAGAAAGTGAAGAAGAGTCAACCACACAAAGTCATTTCCCCAGGCTCAAGGCTGACAGAGGGAACTCCTCTGAGCGCTCCCACTCTCCAACCTAAAACGCCTGTAGCTGCTGCTAAGGACTTGCCTTTCACACCTGTTGGCACAAAAAATGTTCCAGTCTCATCTTCAGAGGAGAGGAAAATCAGCCAGCCAGCCAGCCAGAGTACTAAAGGAAACCAGCCCAGGAGGATTACTCTCAACACTTTACAAGCGTGGAGCAAGACGCCAAGGTGAGATTTATATTGCCATTTGCAGTCATAAATATGAAGGCCAAGACAAGCTGTGCTTGTACTACATTTAAAGGTTTGAGGTTTAGATATAAATTCCTGGTCTTGACCTGGAACTTTTTGTTCTAGTTGTACTGCAACTATACGGTCAAAATGTCTTTAAAATCCTAAATGTAACTCTCATATTTCTGTCTAAAACGTGAGGCAGTAGCAAAGTTAACCTGGCTCTTAAGCCTTGTTGAAATGGCAGACAGAGTTGTCTGTTTTTATGTCCCACTTTCTAGAAAGATGGTGCCTTCAGCTGACAGGGAATATTATGAAACCCTTCTGACAAGAAGTATTTCGAGAAGTAAAGAACCAGATGAATGGGTCTTAAAGCACTGCATGAAGATATTCCATAGGGTGAAGATTTAGATGTTTTCAGAAATTGCCTGTGATTCAAGTATTGACTGTCACACGTTCTGCAATATAGTCACAGAGCCTGCAGTGTAAGATCCTGAGCTGATACACACACAATTAGAAGTCTAGACATTGTCAGCAAAGAAAGGCTGAATTTATGATTTAGGAGCCTATTGGTATTTCTCGAAGGAATAAATCGATTACTAGGTAGCTAGAGAAAAGGTGGTCATTGAGAAAGCAGGTTCTGGGTTTCATCATCAGCTGCAAAGAGCAGCTTCTCTCTTAGAGAAGGTGATTGCAGCATGATGGCTTTCTGTACATCAATGATCACGTGTACGAGGACTAAATCGTACACGAGTACACGTACACGAGGACTTTTCGGAAAGGGTGGTCAGGCACTGGAATGGATGCCCAGGGAGGTGGTGGAGTCACCGACCCTGGGGGTGTTCAAGGAAAGACTGGATGTTGTGTTGAGGGACATGGTTTAGTAGGAGCTATTGGGAATAGGTGAACGGTTGGACTGGATGATCTTTTAGGTCTTTTCCAACCTTGGTGATTCTATGATTCTATGATTCTAACAAATGAAGGGCTAACTGGAGAGTCGAAAGTGACTGTTGTCTGGAGGGCAAGCTGACTGAAGGAGCTAGTTAATCTTGAGAAATAAGCTGTATTTTATCATATCAGCTAATTATACAGTGTCTTCGTGTAGTAGCGTGCATGGTGCTGCCTGTAAGATCTGGTTTTTAGTAGATCAGTTAATCCTCTGCCACTTTTCTTATTTTGTGTCATCCACAAGATGTGATGTAAAGAAATATTTTATTTTGTTGTTGTTGTTCTGGCTTGGTTTGTTTATTTTTAAAAACACACTTCAATGATCAAAAGAATCCTCTAGAGTTCTATCAGTCAGAAGTGTTAATGTTGTGGATGGGGCTAGACCAGGAATAGTAACCTGTTGCAGTGGAATTGGAAGCCTTAGCAAGTGTCAAGAAACAGGTTAAATTCTTTGCCTTTTCAGCCAGTCTTTGCTTTAAAATATTTGACCAAAATAACATACTCTGTAGGATTATTTCAAATATAACATATGAAAAAGTATTTTGTTGTGGAAAAAGATAAATAAAAAGATGTGTAGTTGTATTCAAAGAACTTCTGAAAACGTCCTACTTGGCATATCAAAGAAGATAATGTTTAGTAACTTATTTCCAAACAAGACCTAAATTTAAATTACTGTGTGTCAAATAAATCTTCAAATGAAGTAATTGAACTGTTTCTTCTCTTTCAAAGGAGAATAAACTTGGTATCACTGAAACCAGAAACACCAGCCTCAGTATATACAGACACGGTTCCTGTGCCTCCTTCCTCAGAACAGGAACATGGTAAGTTTTTGTGCTGCATCTTAATATCCAGCAAAATTTTTTGCCAGTCTTTTTTTCCATTATAAACTTCTATTACAAGCCATAAAGATCTCAAATCAAGCACAGATGTAAAAGTAGTTGCAGATTGTAAAGCTTCTTCATTATGTAGGTGTGTTTGAAAGGTGCTTTTGACTACATGAAGTGTGTTGTTTTCACTGCAGTTGTCTCAGTTGCTCATGTGACAGTATGTTACTGCAGTTCAATAATAATGGTGCCATTAACTGACATTTGAAATGCTGCAGAATAAACTTACTTGTTCTGCAGGTCACACAGGTAGGTTTTAAAGACACCTGAAGCTTGTTTCAGGTGCTGGACTCCCAAACCAGTTTCTCGAGTATTTACTTGTTCATGAATCAACAGACCAATGACTTTCATTTGCTTGTTTCAGAGAGGCCATTACCATCTGATGACAGTCTTCAAAATTCCCCAGCATCTAAACGTCCTAGAACTGAGGAAATGCCTCTTTCTGTGTCTGCTGAAGATCAGATCGGCTGCAAACCAAACAAATAACAGCTGGTTTCTTAGAAGATTCTTCAATCTGAACACAGTGCGGCCGTATCTTTCTGCAGATGATAAATCCTCAATTCCTGATTAAAGTACTGTATGAGTATTTGACGTAGTGCTGTGAGTAGTCTGGCAGCAGTAGACAGTTTTCAGGAACGTAGCTTTACGGGAGAGGAAATAACTCTGAAGTGTCTTCAAAGTGTGGATCTATTTCTTGAAGACTGCGTTCTTCGATGCTGCAGTTCAAGGAAATCATGCAAATTTGGCTATCAAAAAGCCATACCCTAACCTAAGTGTTTCCATCTGAATTTCCTGAGTTGGTGTTTATAATGTATCGTGTCCTCCAGCAACCTGTCTGGCAAGTAAATAGAATTTCTCAGGAATTGGGTTCATTCTGATTTGATGTTGCTTAAGGAAAATGGAAGAAACAAAATACCTGAAGCTGTTTCACTGGGGCAGTTGGCTTATACATTGTAGCAATGTGCTGAATAATTGGTGCTCTCCTGTACCTGTGGAATGGAAGCAAACCTTCTTACGCTCTGAATGTGCAGCATGCAGTGTGGCTGATACTGAAATAGAAATCAGAAGCTAGAACAGCAAAAAAACAGAAAGCAGAAGGAAGACATTTTCTGAAGACCTGTTATAAGCATTAAGCAGTGGAAGAAGCTTCTTCACTGAACAAGGAAGTGTCTATATTGACAAAAATGAAGACATGAGATTTTCCTGAGGCACCAAGATTTGAATTCGTACATTAAAAGTGCACAAAAAGCTTTCCCCAGTTCTTTTTTTATAACTCAAATTGTTTTGGCCAACAAAATAAAACCTGAATCCAATGTATGTTACACTTTTAAAATCTGATTTATTTAATATTTCCTATAATTAAACTATGACCTACAATTGGAAACCACTGCACTGAATTTCATCTGGTGTGTGAAGACTCCAGAAGTAGAGTGCTCAGCCACAGCATTCCAAGCCTATCCATTTCATTAGTTTTGTTTAATATCAGGTATTTATTTTTGAGAAGATAATACTTAAAATGTAAATAGTTATTCTAGTAAATAGTTATATCTAGTTAACGATACCATGTAGACAAAAAATTCTCTTGTGATTTAGTCCATACTTTTCTGTCATGAAGTTCTGAGATGCATGGGAGGGGAAAGCGAGAATGGGTATTAAATCTCTTCAATTTCCCTGGATTTGATTGTTTTTAAGGTGTCTAGTTAGTGTTTGTTTTCTGTCATTCTCGAAGTATATAAATGCATCAGACATGCAGAAATAGAAATGTTTCAAAAGTGTTTCATAAAAATTCCACAAAGAAATGCTTACAGATACCTATCCCCCAGAAAGTTTCAGGCAAATAGAAATATGTTAACTACAATCAAACTTCAACAGGAGTTAATAGGAACTAACTGTATTTTTCTTTAAACCACTGAGATGAGGGTAGAACTTTACTGGACCTAGCCAAACCTGGGATTTCTTACAGACAGGAGTGAAAAGTCTATTACCAAGTGAAGCTACATCTGAAACAGTTTTTTTCCCTGAAATCTGTAGAAATAAAATTCGTAGAGATCTGAATTGTTAGCTAAAAAGCAAATATTTGTAACTAATACAGTAATGCATTTGTGGAAGGTTTTTTTGTTTGTTTGTTTGTTTGTATATCTGTTGCTAACACAACAGTGTGTGGTTTGGGTTTGGTTTTTTTTTGCTTGAGTTATAAGAACAGCAGTATTTCATGTTTCTGTGGGACAGCGACCCACTTAATACTTCAGAGATTCATTTTGTGCACTGCAAAGGGTCCTTTGAGTTCAAACTTACATTTCTAAATGCTGATTGCAAAGCTATCCTATTGGTTGCTTTTTCTTTTCTTTTCTTTTCTTTTCTTTTCTTTTCTTTTCTTTTCTTTTCTTTTCTTTTCTTTTCTTTTCTTTTCTTTTCTTTTCTTTTCTTTTCTTTTCTTTTCTTTTCTTTTCTTTTTGTTTTCTTACAAAATGCATTTTGTCATGAGCTTCTTTCTGTTGAAAGCTGTAAGATTGAATATGTTATTTTAGTGTTAATGACATAACAGGCCTTTGTGCTCTTTGAATGTAATTACTTACCAGAGTATTAGTCTTCATTTCATGCCACACACGTTCTGGTAACATCCACATTTATTTATATAGTTGCTAGCCTATTTTCTCACTGCTTTGCAATGCAATTGGATTGGTAGATTTATTGACACTTTCACTGCTTCCATTTGGAGATTATTTCCACATCATCATCTCTGTCATAATGTTACCTGGTATTTTTTCTTTCCTAACAAGGACTTCTTTCATTAGTTTTAGTTTTTCTTCTGCTACTATAATTTCGTACTTCCCTTTTCTATTCATTCTCTATTAGTTATGTTCTACTTTGTTGTTAAGAGGCAGCAAATCAGTTTTAAACTTGGGAACTGCAGAACTCTTCACTGGGTGTCCAGAACCTGCACCCAGTCAAAAATATTTTGTAGTTGTATGTATCAGTATCCTCGCAGCAAATCCCCTGAAAGACCAAATAAACAGGATTTTGATACCAATTTGTGTTCTCTGAGGTGAAAGTAGCACCATCTTCTGTACCTGTTGGGCCACGATGCACAGGGATTACTGAGTCTTCCTGTCTCTGGAGACAATCGCTGTAGGGCTGGATGGGGCTCTGAACAATCTGATGGAGATGTAGGCGTCCCTGTTCACTGCAGGGATGTTGGACCAGATAGCCTTGAAAGGTCTCTTCCAACTCGAAATGGTGTTGCTGCTGTGCCTGCTTCATGACCATCCCCATCTCTTGGCGCCGATTCATCTGCCTTTTTACTGTAAGACTGTTTCTGCTTCAGTCGGGTGATGAGCTTCCAGAGGCGTTCCAAGGAGCTGCTTGTCACAAGGAAAGAAACCATCATCTTTTTTTTTACTGCTACTTGCAAGATTGTCATCATCCATCAAGAGAGCAAATTTTTGCCTGTTTCTCTGTGGACTCCTAGCAAAAAGTTATGGCTCTTTTTCCAAAGCCCAGTCTCCACACCATGTGGGCAGCAGCAGGAGCACCAACTTCTGCCAGCTCAGTCAGGGACTTTTCCATAGCAAATATCTACCTTACAGGAGATGCACGTTCTGTTTATGTTGTGACTTCAGGGTCACTTGAGACCATAGGAAATCTTAGCAGACACTTTGATCTATTTAATGAAAGGACTGGGCACCCAGGCTTCTATCAGACAGATTGCTTACCGAGAGCGCAGAGATTCTGTGGATAAAAAGAACCTTCAAACCTTGGAATCACCTCAGATATTCTTCAGACAAAACCCCTGTAGGAGCAATCATGAACCATATAGTTCTGTTGTTGCCTCTCCTGCTTTTCTTGCTGTAAAGGCTGACATCTCTCAGGCCCTGGTCTTCCTATTTAGTCACATAAGGCTTTTGGACTCTGGGTGGCTCAGTCGTTTGTGATGCCTTGCAGTCCTTTCAGCTTGTGCTTCCTGGGGGTTCCCTCCATGAGAGTTTACTAGGACTGTTAGCATGCACATTTCAGTACAATCATTAACTCCTTCACACTATGGAGGAATTGCCCATTAACCCCTGGGGCTTAAGCTATCCCATGCATTTTGAGAATGAGGAAGGCCATAATAAGAGCCTTCAAACTGTGTTGGGTCTTGATGTCAAATGGAATGGTCGTCTTTCTTCAGAGGCTATAAAGGCAGGTTATGAACTCTTGACAGAATATGTCCTGAAACTTCCAAGATGAAGCCACTTCTGATGGAGCAAAAACTGTGTTGAGTGGAGTTTTTTTTTCTGATGAAATGTAATCTTCCTTTGGATGCTACTCAAGCAACCACATAGAGATTTCTTAAATGTTACGTTACAGGAAAGGCATGAGAATTGTTGCCATTCTCGGTAGAAGCAGTGCCACAGTTGCTTTCCATGTGAAGGATTCAGAGCTTCTCTCTCCAAGTAAATTTAACCACATACATTTTTCAGCCTGTTTGACACCGTGGAGACCACAGTGGAGTGCTGCATCCAGTTCTGGCCTCTCCAGAAATATGGAGCTCTTGGAGGAACCCTCATGAAAGGCCACTAAGATGATGAAGGAGTCTGGAGCATCTCCCTATGAGGAAAAGTTGAGAGAGCTAGGACTGTTCAACCTACAGAAGAGATGGGTTGTGGGGATCTCATCAGTGCCTATAAATACCTGGAAGGAGGTTGTTAAGAAGATGGAGCCAGAATCTTCAGTGGTGCCAGTGAAGGGTAAGAGACAAGGGGCACAAGCTGGAACAAAGTTTTCCTTTTTCAGTTACATGTACCTTACTTCACTGACCTTTTAAAAGGTCGTATTTATGTCTCAATTCTGCATGTTATTTTATTTTAAATGTGTCTATGTAATCGTTTACCAATGTCAGAAGAAAAAAAAAAGTTCTTTGTTCTTTTGATCTATTTTGATCTATGTGCCCTTTTTTCTTTTGTTGATGAGTTATTGTTTAGTTGTACGAAGTTCAGCCCTTGGCTCTAAAAAGCCCTAGCTGCAGCTCGAAGTGAGATGTAAAAACAAAGCGCAGAGTGCCCACTAGATGCCGCTGTTCTAACAGGATTCCTCCTCTTGCGGTTATGGCGGAGAGTGATCCAGGCAGCAAGAAAACAGTTTTTAGTAACATGTTGTAATTGAATCTATATAACAAATATAAATTATCAACAAATAAATTGATTTTATTATTTTGACAAGCTTCCTTTTAAAAGGATGTGTTTGGTTTTTGTTTATTATGTCCGTATCACCGTATCCCTTAGAGTCATAGAATCACTCACGTTGGAAAAGACCTTAAAGATCATCAGTCCAACCCCGACCTAACCATCCTACCCTAACTCCAACAGCCCTCTGCTAAATCATGTCCCTGAGCACCACATCCCTTCTTTGTTGCGAGACCTGAAATACCACATGCAGCCCTAAACTTGCCAGGAATCTCTTAAGCATCATTTCTGTCACAAAGCTATTTGAAGAGGGTATAGGAAGGATCTGAAATGCGTATGGGCCATCTGGTTGGTGTGTACTCCAGGACCAGTTTTGGATTGTCTTTCCAGGAGTTCCCAGATTGTGATACATATATTGCTGCATGTTTTCATGTCCCACCCCTATGTCAAAAGTTAATTGTGTGTGTCCGTATTACAGTACCAGCTTGTCTGTTCTGATCTGTCTTAAAAAGTTGCACTGCCTTTTTATTTATCTTCTAGCCTATTAAAAGGAAATGCAGAAGATGAGGGCAGTCACAAGTAGCTGTGTATCCACGAGAGAGTGGCCACGGAGGGTGTGAGGGCAGTATGCAAGCAATCCTCTCATGTAAACTGTGTTCTCTCTGCAAGAGCAAAAGGACAACTCCTTAATTAGTGTCATTTTTATTTATTTTTGCCTGGAAATGTACTTTCTGCTGCTTCCAACTTGTGTCAACTGGTGCTGCCCAGTCAGGGTCTTTTCCTCTGCTGAGTTATTAGTCGTTACCATCACAAGGAATACTTGTTCCTCAACAAAAACGTATAGATTTACTTCCTTAAAAATAAATAATTCAGTGAGTCACTGAACTATTGATACCTTGTTTCATACAGGAATATAGCAACTTGCACTAGTGTTTTCAAACAGGCTTTGCAACATTTTAGATTGAGTGGTTTCACTGCTGTTTTACTGCTGGAAGGACTTTTTGGTGTGTAATAATAGTTAATTTTTAGACAGCTGGACATAATGCTTTCTGTGCTATCAGTGCTAGTTTTATTTTTTCCTCTATCTGGCTACCTATATTAAATACATCCCCTTATTTAATCGCTTTTTATCAAAACTTGGTTAGTATTTCCTTATGGATTCAAATTGGAATCTTTGTATTGTGTAGCTTAAGCTCCTGCCTCACAAGCAGGAAATAACCATGGGGTGCTGAGGCTGTCACATGAACTTTCATCCCTCTATATTTACTTGCAAAGAGGACAGCTCTTACAGCAGTAGGCAGAAAGGCCCAAATCTCTTAGGTGCTCACGGTGCTCTCTTGAGTCCAAATGGGAAATCTCAGTCAGACAAATGTGAGACAGTATCCCTTCCTAGTGATACCTCTGGATTTTCTCTTTGCTGTGTAAGGAGTAGGAAGGGCCCATAGTTATTGAGAAGAATGTAGGTAAAAACGGAGGTGGCTGTAAAAGTCAGTGGTGTGGATTAAGATTTTTGAGCGGAGCGTAGAGATACACTCAGGAGGAAAATGCAACAGATTGACATCAATCAAAATGTCTCCTCCATGCTGCCAGCTGTGAAACAGAGCACAGCCTCTCCTAATCCACTCATCAACAGTCTCAGGCAGATGTGAAGGCTTCTCCAGCAGGAGCTGACACTGCAGATCTTCCAGTCAGTTGACCTCTGATGAGTCACTATCCTGGGTTGGGGTAACAGACAGCCAAAGCTACAGCAGTGTGGAAGGCTGGGTGCTCACACATCCAGCCGTGCTTCTGGTCTGGGGAGCGGTCAGCCAAACGTTCTGATAGTTTTAATGGAAACTCTATTGTGAATTTGGATGCTGAGGGAAGCCTACCAGGCACAGAGCGCTCAGGATGCAAGACAGTACTAAATGTGCAAGGTATTTCTGTCCCTTTTCCACCACATTCCAGATACGAATAGGAGATCTAGAGATCTATTGGGCCTTCTTTGGCAGCACTGCCAGTAGTTCTAATGCAAAATCCCCAGATTTAGTGCCTATTATTCTCTCTGACCAGCTCGGAACTCCATAACGCAGGTCTATTCTTCGTCCCATGAGGTTTTGGGGGCACTGCCATTTTCTTTATGCTGTTTTTTTTTTTTTTTTTTTTTTTTTTTTTTTTTTTTTTTTCAGAGAGTTGGCAGAACAACCTATGGATGCCAAGGTTCCCCTGAATTTTAAGCTCCAGCCTTCTCTGAGTGTGACCTTTGCATATTCACTACTCTCTCTAGTCCTCTTTTCAAAGGAGGCACGAGAGAAGGAATAAGTACTCTGCTGTGGACAAATGAGTTCATTTCTGTTCATTTCTGAGGGCTCTGTGCTGAGCCCTCCCTTCCACCAGTATGGCCTGACCTTGCCTTTCTGACTTAGTGTCCTGGGCTGCAGGTGCTCTAGCACCAGCAGAAGAACTGGAATTTGCAAACAGAGAGCAGCTAAGCTTTTCCCCTGCCAGTTCCCTTTCATGTGTGCCAAACATACAACAGTGTTTTTCTTGAGCCTGGCAGCCACTTTCATCCAAGCTGAGAATGCGGCTGCTTACTCCCTCTATTGAAACCCCAAAAAACCACGGCCTGGAGGCCTCCTGGCCTGCAACTTGAGAGGGTTTGCTTCTGGGAGCATGAATAATTAAAAAGGTTCACAAATTTCTTTCTGTCTGGAAACTGTTCTTAAATCTGGGCTTGTCCAGGGACTGTGAAAACCTGATCCTGGTTCTCATGAAAGCAGAAGATCTTTTTGTATCTTTTTAGCATGGCCTGATGAATGTCTGAGATCTCCAAAGCTTTGGTGCTAAAAGTTTCCTTGTGCCATGCAGTTACAGAGATGTTAGATTCATTATGCGCTTAAGTGCTTGCATGCACTCTAGCCTAAGTTTATATCCTTTTTTTTTTCCCTTCATATTTTACATTTCCAAACATTTTTCTTGCTACGACTTATATTAACCAGAAAACCCTCATTTTGTAGGGCCTTATTTCTCTGACACTTGCATGGTATGATTCTTAGGCACACCAGCAATGATTATAAATAATGTCAGATTTTGTCTAGGTATAAAATTTTCCTGTGCACTTAACCAGCAAAAATAAATAAATAAGCTATGCAGGCATATTTATTTGAAATAACTTAAAATAGGCATTCTTAAATTTTGTTTGCTAAGGGAAACAGGCCAGATTGAAATGGAAATGGATACTTGTATATATTAGCCTGTTTAATTGAACTGGTTTAAAACCATACTTTGGGCTAAATGAATGCCACCTACTACATACTGGGCACTGTGGGACCTTTCTGGATGTTTTTATTTTGCCTGTCCTGGCACCAGCAAGGTTGCACCAGCTGGATGTACTTATGCATAGTGGGGATAAAATAAGGTATGGATTTAGTCTGCAAGCAGAAGAGAGACAATATGTTGGCTCTGTGCTCCAGCATTTTAAACTTGTATTTTGACTCTACAAAAAAGCTGCATCTCTGGCTGTATGATAATTTATTACAAGAAGGCAATGTCTGCAGCCAGCAACAAGCTAAATCAGTGTGTCTCACATGCATATACGGTGATAACACAACCAGTCTTGCTGCAATATTTTGTCTGGATTCAAGTGTGTGTGCTTGAGAGCAGACAGTACAGTAACAAAGACGAACAACTGGTTATTGGAATGTGTCTCATAGAATGGTCTGTAGTGGGTACAGTGTGTGTATGCATACCTAGACTGTTCTTCAACCAGGAAAACTGGAGTGTCTTGCAAGTGCCTGTATGGATTAGTTCTTTGTAGAATTGCTGTGAGTAAATACACTTTTCTTTCTATTTTGTTCATCAGATTCCTGGAAATAAGGAAGCAGTTTTCAGAATGGAGTGGAAGTTTGCAACAACTTATAAATCATGCGTATGCACGCGTTCTACTTTATGCAAAATTTGCAAAAACCCAGGTCATGTTGTGATGTGGACATCTTTTGTCCATTTTTTTGGTCAGTGTAGAATTGCTTGTTGTGATTATGCAGAGAACAGCATGGGAAAAGAGAGAAAATAACATTATTGAAAAGAACAGATCTTCCTAACAGTAGTCAGAGAAACTAATTATGGCATTTGAACTTTAACACTTATAAATCATTACAGATATGAAAGGTATGTAAAACCACGATGTAAAATGACTATTTGATCTTCCTTACTGCTTTCTGCAGGAAGAGGTGATTCTCAGTTTTCTAATTTCTTGCAGAATAGCTCAAGATTGATTTTGGAGTGAATTCTTAAGTGTTAGCTATAAATCCATGAGGATAGGGATGATAGTGAAAGGAGTAATGTAACTGTCTATTGTACCCCCTAGGGTAGTTACCTTGTAGGAAAGTAGCTACTGGTAATCTATAATAATAAATATCAACATTAAACATCGCTTTTTTAATTTTAACAGCAGGATTCAGAGGATGCATTCTGCTTTCTGATACTTAATAAATTCAGGATCGTGCCTGAGCATTTGCTTATAGTAGCCACATGATGGCAATATTGCTAATCTTTAACTTTATTTGTTCAACTGCCTCACTAGCTCCGGTTTTGATTCAGAATACAGTATGTAGTTCTTCAAAAATACTGAAGTTCTCTGTCTTTTAAAGGAAAACTCTCATGTTAAGACTTTATATATGTCATATCTGTTGTGAATTTGGCCCATGGTTACATCCCTGATTTCAAAGGGAAAAAAGAATACTAATGCCACTGTGAGAACACAATAAGTGTTACATATGGGTGATGCTGAGACTCTGGAAAGGTGCATTAGCCATGAAATGGAAGAATACCAAAAGAAGAAAGGCTTAAGAGATGTTTTCTGGGTAACCAAAGGCACAGAATTTTCCAGTCTGATATTTCTGATAAGCTGTATGGAGCAAATGCCTTTATGAACTGTGCCACAAACATTTTCGCTCTCTGCATTAAAGGATGTACAAAGCTTGGTGCATGCCATGTCTGCTGCCTGGCATGAGGAGGCCTCTCCAATGTTGTGTAGCCTACTGCAGGTTCAGGGTCTAACTGAAACCAACCA